TCTGCTAGACCATGTTCTGGGTATGTGGGACCCTAGAATTCCCCTCAAAGGAAGGGCCATGGCTCTTACTCAGGGCAATAGCCAAAGAGCAGCCCTTGCTGACGAACAGGAACAGAGCTTATAACTGTGATTTGGGATGTCTAATGCGTGCCTGCAAGGTATGGGAAGGAACCTGGGCAGGAAACAGAAAGGGGGTTATCCTGGAGCTGGCACCCAGGGTCTGGAGCCAACAGTCAGCTTGCCTCAGCCACCACATGGACGAGTTTGAAAGTTCTACCTGAACCTGGCCTTCCAACCTCAGTGTTCTTTGGAGAGCTTAGAAGGCATGTGCCAGTAGGGCTTGGGGGTTAGGAAACCTTAGAGACAGGTTTCCCAACTTTGACTGAGTCAGGTAAGCAGAAAGCTGGAGGCCACTGCCCTGGGGCCCTCCTGGAGGCATCTGGCTGGTGGGAATTGGAAAGGGGCAATAGGGAAGTGGTCAGTGACACTTCTGGTAGGGAATAAAAGAATCCCCTGCTTCCCCCTCCAAAACACACACACACAAGAAAATATAGGTATTATTGTGTAGATTTCTCACTTAGTTGGAAAAGAAGGCTGAGAGGGGGGGATATGAGTATTATCATTACAAAGGTCTATTTTTTGAGGTAGGAGAATAGTAGATAAATTTAATACTTTCTTAGCTTCATCCATAGCTTTTAAAAATTTAGACATAACATACAGGCTTCCATTTGTATTCTCCCTGACATGGCAAATATTACAGGTGGCCCCAACCTGACATCCCCATTTGCCCTAGGATAGTCCCAATTTATTACTAATGCCCCGCAGTGTTATTACTGCCACCACTGTCAAAAGTGTCTTGCTTTGGAACAATAAGTGATATGATCCTCTCAACTAAGGACAACACTAACACTGATTGGGAAATAGACCAGTCAGAGACAGGTCTAGAGCCATGAAATAGTTGGTCCATCCCTGAGTCAGCTGCAGGATGTACATGACATGCATGACATGATTCCTCTGCAGGATTTTGTTGATTCTGCGTAGGCCACAAGACTTCCGCTTTGCTGTCTCTAGAGATCAAGCCAGGAAAATGCGTAGGTCTCTCTGGGGGCTTAATTAACCAGAACCCAAATATATGGTATGGATGATGAAAGAAATATGGCTTTGTTCACAAAATTCTCCAAACTAAGGCTTCTGGGCTGAAACACAAATAATGTCAGAACACTAGTTCAACCAAAAGAATAATACTGCAAAAAGAATAAAAACATTAACATTTATCTAAAACAATAAACAAAAGAATCTCATGAAACTTCCTTAGTACCTCCCAGGCCCCTAAGGTAAGTGCTGGGCACAGGTTTGGGGCATTGTCTTTTCTTGCATCGAAGTCCTTATTTCCAATGAGCACTTCTGTGCCTGGGAGCAGGAGCACTGGGAAGCTTGAAAGCAAGTGAGGACCCTACGGACCAGCTGCACTGACCTTTCTCTGGTGGCTTTAAAACTCACCTTGCTCCTGTTCCCGTGATCTCTCTCATCTCCTTTCTCCAGATGCCTGGGTTTATATGTCTTGATCTTATTAAGTCCCTGCAGCTCAATCACCTTTCTGGAATCTTGCTCCACATGCTGATTTTCTTTTGCGCGAAGCGCCCGCCATATGGACACAGCTGGCTTACACAGTTAGGCTCACCATCCCAAGTTTGAATGACACGCCCCAAGCTCACCTCTCTTCTTCTGCCACTAGGGAAGATGATTCTTCTTGGGATCTCTATTATTTTAATAAAATTAAATATATACAATATTTAATTACGATAGTTATATTTAACAATACTTACTATTTAAAAAATATGTATATATCAGATATTCCCACAGGACAATAGTTACAACATACAAAAAGGAATACTGTGAAAGTTCTCATCTACTGGATTCCTTCCAAGTTTGGTGCATTTTC